ATCGTAATATAATAGACGATTTAATTTCTAAATATTCGCGCCTGAACACAATAGGCGTTCGGAAATTTATCTGAACGAACAATTTCTCAATTTTGCTGTTAACTTTTAATCGTATGTTTCTTACGACACTACACAATACGTACACTGTACTTAAAAATGTAAAAAAACGTTCAATAATATAGCTGAAATTTTTTTCTTTTTTTGTGTGCAATTTTAGTGTGATATGTCTAGTATATATATAGTAATATCAAGTGTATGGAAGATTCGAAGATAAATCTACTCAACTTTCTCAAGAATCCTGACAAATATTATTTATCCAATATTGCGCGAATTCGCTAAATATCTATTTGTTGCAACGTTGATGTATCGAAAACGTATTGGCACGTAGAACGTATCATTGGAAGAATATTTTCTTTCGTGAAAGGTCAACATAGAAAAGCAATTTAATGTGAATAGCAGATATAATGCGACAAGCCACTTTTAGAATCCCCAAAATGTATCCAACTCTTCTTTGATAAAAAATTTCGGACGACAATATTTCAGACTTGGCCCTGAATAGAGATCAAAGAGTTACTCTTGATAACAAGTTTTACGTTAATAACAATCTTTATGTACTCGCACTCTTTTAAGCAGTTTGATTCAAAGGGTTACATTGTCTGGACATGGTGGAGCTGTTTAATAAAGTACACCCTAGTTTATAATATTTTGAAATATCCAAATCGTCTACTGGCAAGCAGTTACTAAAATAAAAATAAATAATTTTTCAGTACGAATTATTTTGTCAAATATTTGTAATAGTGTAATGAAGACCATGCCCTTGGCGAGACATACGTATATTGCAAATTGTAATTTCACGCCGAGCTTAAGATTCCATTAATTTCGATCAAAAGTTTGGCGCAAGTGGCGAAAAAACTGAAAAATTGTCAAGTCGCGCAATTTATGCGTATAATAAGACATCAGAAAATATTTATAGAAGCATTAATTATTCACTAATTTTGTTGACGGGGTCACTTTACCGACGTCGGCGACAACCTTTAAAAAAGTGTGTTCTGGTTTTTGTTTCGCTTGTTATGCAACTTTAGGCGCCACGATAGTTGTAATATAGAAGGAAGTCAGCCAATGTTTTTTTACTACTTGAATTTCAATTAGCCCATTTTATTCGAGTAGGAATACATAAACTAACCGTTTTTGCAACGTATGTTTCCCAATGTTGGTCATAGATAGATATTAGAGAAGCGTATATTTTTTCGTTGCTATTGTCAACAGGTTTATACGTTTAGATATATATGTTTTAGCATAAAATTACCTAGTAAAATAAAGTATTAAAATTACACTAATATGTATAGTCAGTAATCCTTTAAGAACGATATGAAAGTCGCCAAGTTGTCAAGGAAGGAAAACGAAAGTATTCGGTCACATGGAAAAATGTTCCAAAAATATGTGCAAATTTCTCATTTTTTCGCGACATCAAAATAATACTTTTGTTAAACCTGATGATACCAATTGCTATTTCGATTAAAATCGCCAATACTTTTGGTATAAATAATATTTTTGGTGTCAACTAAACAATAAGTAGAAACCAAATATACTTTAAAATTAGTAGGTAAACTTACTTACTTAAAGTATATTGCATTTTTGTTAGTTTGAAAGAGACGGAAAAAAATTAAAGCACTAATTCTAAATTTGTGGAACACATGTGAAAGCTTTGGATTTCGATTTACCTTGGAATGGCGCAGAAAAAAAAGATCTAGCAATTTCGACGTTCAAGTGAACATATTCACACATAAATCATTCATAGTTTCAAGGATTAATCTAGAGAAGTAGCCAGCTTTCAATTGTATAAATCCAGATGAGGTAATCAATCACATTTTAAAGATTGTTCTGATGTTCTTCAATACGTAATTTTTTCATTCCTATTTTTTATTGCAGAATGCATTAAAAATAGATTTGACTAGCTAACTAACAAGTGGCAGTAACAAGCTCAGAAATAAAAAAATATGTTAGCAAAATCTTATATGTAGTATCTATATATAGAGAAAAAAATATTCATAACCAACAGTCCAACAGTCAACTTAATTCTTGGTTGTTGTTGCAGGTTTAAAGCACTTTAAAATAGTCCGAAATGGAAGTAAGTTTAAGGAAGTTAAATCTAGTACTCACATTCCGAATGATGAAAGCCAAAGATTTATCGACAACATATTTGCGGTAAAAGATTTGGAACAGAAAGAACTTTACATAATACCAAAGCCATTCCCAATTGTAACTGAGTAGTTGCTGCTTTATCCAATATAACGATACTGAAGCCGAAGAGCGGATTTTAGCAATAGTGGTTGAAGAAACAAAAAATTGCTCTAACAAAATGAAGGAGGCCACGTATCAAATTCTTTTGAAATAATCTTATGCAGTCATATATTCCTTCAGTGGATGATCATTCTGCCCTGAAACGCGCACATACATTTTTCCTATTTTTAATTGATAAAAGTAAATATATGACCAACATTCAAACTACCTACTAAATTTACAAAGTTTTAATTTTTTGTGTTTTTATTAGTAGAATTTTAGAAGCATGTTAGTTTCTTCAAAATAAAACTGCTTGAATAGAAAGCAAATTATCCAGATATGTAGACGGGCGTAAATCTGCCGTTTAATATTCCTCAGATCATGCCCACGGTTCATTTAGATAAAAAGGATTTTTATGGCGCTGAACGCACGTTCGGGCTTATCCTAATAAATGGCCACCATTTCTGTTCGATTGCATAAAAATTAACTGTTATCTAAAAAGGAAATGTATCAGAACCGACTTAAGCTAAGGTGGATTACTAAGTAAGTAAGTATACTAAGTAAGAATTTGTGCTTAAAATCAGGCTTTCTGCTAGACAGTTACGGTATTAGCAAAATGCATTTCTTAAATCGAATGATACTCAGCTAGATCTGGTAGTTTGATTGAAATAATGAAAAAAGAATAAAAAGGACAGTTAAAACATATAGTAAAATTTATGGCCCAAAGCACTCTATTTATCCTCATTTTTCTTCTTTAGAGCGATTTATTTTTTAACACATTTCCGTGAAATCTGCAAGTAGGTAGTTCATTCCATCCATAACGTCATAAAGTCATAACTAAGGCTTATTCAGACAAAATTGAACAGCGCATCCAAAGTTAAGATTGTTCACAAAATCCGCCTCTGTTGTTCCGGCCCTCGCGTTTCCCTATATGCATTGCATTAGTAATTCGCTTTCCTATTCAAAACTTTCCATTTGGTCTTATACGGGTGAACGACGTAAAACTATTCTGACCGCCCCCGTGCCATTATCTTTATTATTAATATAGTGCTCGTTTAATTTTCCATTGATTATCGAACCTGTCTAGGACCGAAGATATTAATCTTGAAGATCCTGTGGGTCGTTCCCCAAACTTGATTTATATCTACGCATACATTTATTTATAGATTTTTTGCTTATTGTATACATATGTGTTTATATCTGGTATAATTCCTATATCAATGCATGTTTTACTATGCCGCCCACTTTTTGTTTAACTTTTCTGATGGTTTTCGAGACGCCTGACTACGCCGATATGCATAACACATTACGTTTCGCTTTTCATCAACGTTAAAATCAACGTTTCATTTTTTTCTGGTATTTTGCCTTTTGTTAAGAGATAAACATGTTTTCTTATCGCATAAAAGCTTATAGTAAACTTGTGTCTGTGATTCACTCTAAATTATCTAGTCGGGCCTTCATTGTTCGTTATTTGATTTTATCTATTCGTACATGCCAAATAAGATGGTTGGAATTATCATTTAAAAGCCGAAGATATGCACTTAATAAGCGTCTAGACACTGTACCTAGACCTTAATAAGCCAAGATTAATGATCAGTTTTCACCTAATACCAACTAATGAAAATATAATGAATAATTGGGTTTAAAATAAGGACATCGCTTACATGATTATCAAATTTAAACGCAACGTTAACCAACAGAGCATTATAAACGTGTGATGTGTGTGAAGAAAGAGATAAATTTGTTAGCATTTTTACTTATCTTATATTCTTTATTATATTATTCTCTATCTTTATTATATTATCATTTTTACTTTTAGTTATCTTGACCGTGAAGTAGTAAGCTGATTAAATAACAATTCTAACCTTCAGATGTTCTTGCAAACGTTTACTAAACAAAAACAGGACGCTGAACATGCCCATTTCTTTAATAATGTTTTCTTTTCATTTTAAAGTGACATATATCACAAACGATGGAATTATCATAAAGCACAAGCGAAACTCAAAGTAGACGGAGATAAAATATCATACAAAAGTTCAAAAATATAAGAAAAAAAATTTAACAATAAGCGAAAAAACTATAAAAAAGTAAACACATTTTAATTGGGCCACTGTACAAGTTTTGATAAGAAGGAAAAAAACATGGCAGTCTCAATCGTCAGATATAAGTACTTTGGAATTTTTGTATGTACGAGTATGCAAAGCTGACTGAATTGTAATTTTACTCCTTTGCTTTTATAGTCATCCTTAGATATATTTTATTTTATTGAAGTGTAGAAAAAATGTTGTTTTTTAACGAAAAACTCATGGTTTAAGCAGATACAAGAAGAAGGTACAATAGACATTCGGTTTTTCCTAGAGCGCCAGTAAAGTAGACGCACATCTCCCATTTAAAAACCTTTCTTGCGTGTCTTATAGGTTTTAAAAAATAGGTTTTAAAAAATATGTCTGATTAATGTAGGGAACAAATATGAGAGCGTTCAAGTTCAATATGCACATGACTAAAACAACAACAAAAAAGTTTAATGTGTGGAGCAATTGCGAAATAAAAAAAACCTTTAAAAAAGTATCTATTTCAAAAGAATGACCGACTAGAACATTTGCATTACAAATAGTTGTCTGTATGACCATCATCGATCGGTTCTATTGAACGGTTAATTACTATTAAAGACGCCCACCTTCATTAAGTTCACCCACTAACATTTTTTTCTTTAATTTCAGGTCCCGATGCTAGTCAAGACGTCGTCCCACAACCCATTGTCGAATTAGACGAGAAGAGCGGCAAACGTTAGTACAACTTTTTTTTGTTAAGTCCTTTTCTGTTTATTATGCAAATTTTAAGCTTTCTATGGTGGTCGGTAATGTTCGCAAATTGTTAAGCGGATATGTTTCTGAGAAGTTTGAATTTGTTCTGGCACTGAAACCATCTCAATAAATAAAATTAATCATTCACTTCACGTACTAGAATAATTAAAATAAAGTCTGTATAAAATTTATGTTAGTTATTTTTATCCTGGTACAAATGTAAATCAACTAGATGTTTAAGTGAATGAAGGTGATGCAAACACAATTTTATAAACGAGTTACAATTGCATCTTTTAAGATCGACTCAACATCAACTAATCTAACATCAACCAGAACGTAAATATTCCAAACAAGACATTATCATCTAATGAAATTTAACTTCACATTTTTCAATATTAAAGCCCTAAGGGCAGAGTTCAAGACTGGAAGGATTAAAATCACACGGTTTAGATACGTGATTGACACAGTAATGAAGCAGAGGAATAACCGGGACAGACAAAATGTATAGCAAAAATATTTGAGCTGCTTTCGTTGAATGTTGAGGCCGGAATAAAAATGATAAATTAAATATAATGAATATGTGTGAATTCCATGCAACATCAACTCAACCGTTTCGGAGGAAGTTGCATTTAAATTGTGCACGGCAAATTCATCAAATACGTTTTACATATTGGTTCATTCTCTGTCTGAATTGTCTCGATCTGAAACTGTCCAAACTTTCAGAAATTACATTTTGTGGAAACTGCTGTGCTCTGGATGCCTGTTCCTTTTCAAAGGAAGGATTTATGGAAATTTTTCCGATTATGGAAGTGTTACGTCTGAGTGATATGACTCTTTTTTATAATCATTTACTGACCAGATACTAAATGGATAAACCTCGAAATCGAAGCAATTTTGCAATATTCACTTATAAAAGCGCCGGTATTGAACTTCTCTGTATAAAACGTACAACTATAAATATCCAGAAGACAAGACGAGTTCATTAACGCAGTTGGCACCAGAAATGTGTATGCATATTTAATCGATTGTAAAAAGGCTTTGCACCGAGTGCAACGGGATAGAAAATATTGAGAATCTATTTTCTCGTTTATTTCATCAAATCATTTAGCAAACCAACAAATTTACACAATAAAAATGAGAGCAAAAATTTGTAGCAAAGCAGAAACGGACTTCTTGTCGGAATCGGTTTAGAAAAAATGGAAATAATCAATAATATTTCCCAATCTTATGGTAAATCCTCTTATAATCCCCGAGTTTTAATTAGAAAATTATATTTATAATTTCCGCGGTTTTCATATTCTTTTGCAAATATTTCTTTGCATATATTGCATAATTAACGTTCAGATCTATAATTTTAGTAGTTAGCTCTCTTTGCGCTACAATTATCTTAGATTTATCTAAGAAAAAAGAGTTTTGATACCCATCTAACGCAACGATATCAGCATAATGGCTTGTTTTGCTCTATTTTACAGGGTCCCTAAAATCAGGTGACCAGACAGAAAAGAAAAATTAATAAATCGTCCGCTAATTCACAGTATTCAGACACTCTAATAGATGCCGTCGCGTATGATCAAAATCTCACTAAATTCCTTAAAAAGCAAGTTTGCATTGATTTAATAGAAGAAAGATAGACAGAAATTGGTAAATTAAATATAAAAATCTTATGATTCTGATCATGCTGAAGTGATAAGAAAGAGCGATAGACCTAAGTAACTGTTGAAAGGCTGTGGTTTCCAATACATGTAGATTTTTGGGCTAAAGCAAATTAAACATGTTAAAATAAGTGTTTTGAGAAATGCCACATTTGAAGAGAACAACAATTTTGAAATTAATTCGAACTTTTACACCCTGTAGAAAAATGGATGCCTATTTTACACGGGGCACTACAAAAGTCTTTCAATTATTAAATCTTATGCCTGTTATACTTCACGCTTCCACTATTACAACAAGCTCTTCCTAAAAAAATCGCCGAAAATAAGTCAACCGATTCCTTGGTATGTGATTTTTCATTAACTTCAACCTTTCCTTTCATTTTAATACTTTGTATGTTTTTCTGATTTTTACAGATTTTGCTGCTTTACTAACTGGACGTTCAGCTCTAGCTATCAAAAACGAGTTTTCCAAACCCATCAGTCCTATGAACAAGAACAATGTAGTCGCCACTGGAAGGTTTTCCGTTCACAGAAGAAACCTTTACTACTCATTTTACATTTCTGAGAATGCAGCCCGACCGCAATCACTTCAGTTCCTTGACCAGCAAGGCAACATTTTGGAGGAGTTCACACTTTCCCACACGGGAGGATTTGTAAACAGCCTCTATCAAAATGCCTCCCGGAAAGTTTGTGGAGTGTGGAGGCGATTGGCCAAAGACTACAGGAAATTGTTAAAGCAGGAGAAAATGTTCGCAGTGTTGGTGTGGGGTGTGAAGGATCAAGCGGAATTTACTCTGAGTGGACAGATTTTGAAGAATGGGGCTCTACCAACGGAGTTGCTCAGTGCTCTTCTCGAGCCTGCTCCGGGATCAGACTCACTTTCAATGACTGGGGCTGGCGGCACTGCCATTGTCTCCATTTCAACTTCAGTTACACCTTCTATAAATGTGGCGATTATCTTTAATGGACTGTTTATGCCGGCAGAAGTAGCGAATATCCCAATAAACATTACATTGTCTATGGACGAGAGGAAGCAAATAGTTCTCCAGGAGACTGTTCAAGTTTCAAAGCCTGCCACTGATATAAACGTTGTGAATGTGAGCTCATCAATTACACAAGCTCACTTGCGCTATTTGACCAGAGGACGAATTATTATAAGTGTTACTTCTGTATCGAAACCCGATGCCCTGAAACTAAGTGGCAACGTTATCACTAAAGCTTCTTGTGAAATGTTCCAAACAACCCTGTCCTCTGCAGCAAATACTCCAAATCCTGATGGGGTGTCCGGAATGGCATGGCTCTACTTGAATAATGTTGGATCATTGATCTACAACATCCAAATCGATAAATTGCCTCCGAAAGAAAATCCCCCTATTATCACACTGATCGACACGAGCTCCAAAAAGAAAACTGAGCTGGAAGATTTGACTCCTTATTTTCACGGAGATGGCTGGGCTAATGGTACGTTGGACAAGCTCACCCCTCGAGTTCTAGAGCCGTTGTATTCTGGAGATTTGGCAATAAACGTAGCCACTACAAGTGATAACAGCTTGATCAAAGGAAAACTCATTTCTAAGCCGGTTGATGAGGCACGAGACGCAGCAGCTCCAGTTTTACTCAAGAGAGAATACACCAACTTATCAACTGGTACTGTAGGCTTAGCATGGATTTCTGTGGACAATGATTGTCACTTACACTACGATATATCCATGACAGGTAAGTGAAGGATTCGAAACTTGCTTTAAAGGTTTTTATTGAATGGTTTGTTTGTTGGTAGGCATTGGTCAAGGTCGTAAAATGGAACTCTGGCTGGAACTTTACCCAATGATTGCTCCTGGCGCTCCGTATATAAATAAACAATTGGATGCGTTTGAAGGCAATTCCGTAGAAGGATCTCCAGTGGAAGTGCTAACCGATGACGAGTTAAACAGACTGGAAAATGGTGTTAGTTTTTTGAAGGTTAAGGATGAACGGTCCAAGATGGCTCTTCTGATCGCGACAGTAACCAAAGTAAGTCGAAGTTTGACAATGGTTTCCTGGTTTAATAATCAATTACGGGGTGTTTGGTATATATTTGATAAGCTAAAGTAAACGTAGCAATCATGTAACCAGCAAGAATTTTTTTAATAAATTTCAATGTATTTTTATTGAGAACGAAGTATGTTAAAAGGATTTATACTGTACTGTAAATTTTCTTAAACCTGATTTGCATATGTAAACATCGAATCTAGAGCGTGTTTCATACTGTTAAGCATATATTTGGTAAAACAGTGTTTTCAAATGGGATTTTTATAATAAACTTTGTTGAATCACGTCTTCCTTGTGGAAAAAATAAATCTTCAGTATTATTTCCCCCAAGATTAAGCATTAACCATACAAAATTGACGAAAATACCTCACCAGCATTCAAAAAATTTGCATTTAAAACACCGACACTCTGAAATCAAATATGAATTTCCGGATACTATATTTATGTAACATTTATGGTGAAAACGTGTTAAATTAGATGCAAATCATTCAGATAGAAGACAAACGTAAACCGGTTTAACCACAAAACAATATAAAATAATCAACTTAGTATCTTTTTTAATTACATCCCATGCTGGTGCTTATGGGCACTTAAAATAAGAAAGATCCACATAGTTCATGTTTGAGAACGAACGAAAAAGCGAGTGGATGAGATTGAGACTATTTCTGATGAACAATCTATCTCGCTTTGAGACCTTTCTATCAATATATACCAAACACTATGACATTGACATCTACTCTAAAAGGATGGAAAATTCGTTCACTTTTTTACTTAATTGATGTGTATTTTAGGTTTCCATTCCGCCGCCTTGCAGGCCGTACTCATCTCCAGACTTTTCCCTTATCAGTCAGCACGATATCATCCCTATCATTTCCACCGGCGAATGTTTCTTCGAAGAAAAGTTCTATAAGAATGAAGAAATTTGGGTTTCCGCGAAGAATCCTTGCCAAATGTGCTATTGCCAGGACGGTTCCGCCAAATGTGATTTTATGACTTGTCCAGCCAGCAATTGTACTGAAGGCAAGCAAATAACGATAACAGGAGAATGTTGTCCGTTGTGTGTAAACAACTCTATCCCTGTGAGGGAGTACAATGGCCAGAAATGTACTCTTAGCGGAAAGTAAGTAGTCTCTTGCATTCTTCTAATCATTTAAAGAATTCTAATTATCCTTCGTCTTTCGCAGATCATACTTGCCAGGTACCAGATTCCACCCGTTCCTAATTCCCTTCGGTTTCGATAAGTGCACCGAATGCTACTGCGATCCGGATTCGTATCAAATCAGGTGTAGCCGATTGAACGACAATGAAAAGCACTGCTGTCCGAATTGCAACAAGAAGACATTCGATATCAACGATCCGCTTTCCGACGATTTTGTGTCCAGAGAAGTTTCAGATTATTCTGTCAAGGACCATGGCAGCGAGTACCAGAAGAAGAAGGAAAATATTGCAGCGAAAATTTTGGAGGAGGGCGGTTGCAAAAACCCAAGCAATCCAAAGAAACCATTTGCTAATGGGGCCGAATACCATCCCTACATTGACTCTCTGGGAGAGTACAAGTGCGTTACCTGTAAATGTCAGGTAAATATTCCAGATTTTTCAGTTACTATATAGTTTTCCTTGTTGAATAATTAGCTGCAATTGTTCTAAACTTCTGATATCGTTATTATATTAAAAACATTATCGGATGTTAAAAATTACCGATAATTTGTCTTGTTAGTCTCGATTCGGAGGTTTGAGGCAGGCTTAAACTCTAAAGGATTTTAAGGGGGTTAACTTGAAATTTGCGATAATAAAAAAAATTCTCTTTACTGATTTATACTATCAGATATTACCGGGGCCGAATTATCTACGGGAAAAGTGTATAAAAATATGAGTTTCTATTTGAAGAAACTACAATTATATATCTGTTTTAAAAAATACAGAGACAGAAGTTTGGTGAGAACGATCTGAGCAATACAGCATTTTGCTAATTTGTTGAATTGTGCTATTGAAAACCGGAAATATACAACCATGTCAAATATGCATACAATTCTTTGAAGATACTCTATCTAAATGGTTCAAATAAGCACGAAGCCCATGGTGTGTACACCAGAAGAAAATTTGTCCTTCTGAAAATGTGAATGTTGTTGACGAAAGTGAACAACGAGCATGAAATGAACCACCAGCACTTGCATTAAACATTAGAAACCAAGGTTTGATGATAAAATCGATAAAAAGATAGTGAATTATTAAGGAATATCAATATATCGGGGTGTCAGACAATAGCTTGAAGAGGTGCTGCACCTGCACCGCTCTATCGATTTATTCACCGGAAAATTTTCCTAGAAAATCATGCTGTGACACCAAATCCAAACTTTCGTATAAGCAATGAAACTTGATGTTGTGAAGGGAGTTTAGTAAAGAAAGTTCAGAAGAACAGTTCTGCGATTAATTGTGTGGCTTTCGAATAAAAGTCGTGTAATGAGAGTATGGATTAAAAAACGGTGTAGATAACAAACAAAGTCTGAGCCCTTTTGAAAGACCCTTTCCCTTTAAAGTRCARAAACACTAGTTTGACCTGTAAAATTATATCTTTTATATTTGTTTTATAGTTTWACTTGTAATGTTTGCTTGTTTCCAAATAAAGCGACATATATTAACGTAATGTTAATGAGAGTAGCTCCATTTTTTGTCCACGTTCTAATTTCCTTTCTGCGTATATYTCAGTTTTTTGCAAGAATCATTTTGTACTATACACCTTTTGAGGAGCGATTGGCGAGATCCTTGGAGAGTTTAAAAATACACCTCTTAAAAGCGAACTCTTCAATAAAGACTCAAACTTGAT